CGCTCTGCCGCTCTGAGTTGCGGTCGTTAGCAGCAACCGGTCCGCGCCCTCTACTGTCTCCCTCTGTTGCCTGCTTTAGGTGTCTCTGCCAGGGTACCCGGCGTAGTGGGGTTTAGACTCTGGAGAGGTGGATTTTTAGAAGCACTCAAGAGAGATTAATTTTATTGTGGATAGGACCTCCCCCTCCCCCCGCCCCCAGCCTCTCCTGGTGCAATTTCTTACTCTGCTCTCTAGATGAATTGTTTAACGGGTGTTTGTGCCATCTTAGAGATGTCAGTCCAGTTGGAAATGAGTCAAGTCCAGCAACTAATTGACACTACCCTTTCGCCGATGCTGAGCTGGACTGATTTAAAATATTATAAGTAACTTATTATTTATATCTTGAATTATCTAGTCTCATTAAATAAACCATAAATGGAGACTAAGCAAATATTTTATATATGTATATTGCCTATATTCTACAGATACCTAGCCAATCTAAAATTCTTCATTCCCTCTGTCATCCTAGGTCTTCAACAATTCGATGAGATTTTTTGGCCCCCTCATCAGGTGCTGCTGTGACTGCCGTCTCCCATGGCTTCTTTTGTTCTTGATTTAACATGAATGAGGATCTCACTATGGAAATTTAGCCCACATTTATTTTTTAAAGTGCCATCCAAGGGAAAGAATATATAAAAAAAAATCTAAGATGGGGCTAGAGCATATATTGAGACTAAGGCAAGAGGCTGTAAATGAGATATGTCTTCTACTCCAGGCTTGCCACCATCTTTTGGAAGAGAGTTTATGCTTTCTATGCATAGAGTTTATGCTTTCTATTCTTTATTTCTAAAAGAACATTTTGCTATTTCTACAGCGTGTTTGTAAGCATAATACGTACAAGCTGACCATAGATGTTCATGTGTTAGAGTGACACAGTAATAAAAAGGCACTAAGGTAATGGATACATCCAAATTGTTACAGATCCAACTACAGTTAAATGAGCAAATACAGAGAACTGGATTTGATTTTATAAACAATTCAAGATGCTAAAGTGCTGATTAGTGGCTTCTTTAAAACCCAGAGAAGTTAGAGCCAAACATCTAAATGCAGCCTCAGGGATACAGAACACCTAAGATATGCAAGGATTTGCTAAAAGCTACATGAGTGTTTCTGGCATCTCTCAGCATTCCCATTCCGGACAAAGGGCAGACTATTTACACATGCATATAGCCGAGGCATGCCTTGGTTTCTAGGAAGCCCTGCACTGTCGGTCTCCTGGAACCCTCCTTACTGTTGCTGTGCAAACACCGGTGTCCCCAGAAGCATTGTGATGTCACTGCTTTCCAGTCGGAGCAGAATAAGAGGGAGACCACAGCGTCTCTCTGGTGAGAAAAACTTAGCCACTTGGTTATAAAACCATCCTTTGAAGCTCTCTGGGACCAACACATCCATGCTGCTGAGGTAGGAAAGTCTAATCAATTCTTTGTTTTACAAATGCTGATCATGCAAGGCTTTAAATGGAACACAGACAAAGCTTTCTTATGGGCCTACTCAGAACCAAATAAATCAAAGATTGCTAAATTCATGTGAGGAGAAAATGAGACCATGAATTACTGATTGGAGGCTCCATTTCTGCTCTGGTTTCCCCGTCCTTTGAATTTGTCTGAATGCAGCTTAAGAAACCACTATGAAATAGTTTTAGATTATTTGCTTCTGAATCATTCTCCTCCCCATAGTCTCCCTTGTTCTTAATCTGACTTCTGTGAAAGAGTCTGTGAAGAACAGCAGGCAGATACCTTCCTGTGAAGAACTGCAGGCAGAAGATTCCCTTTCCTTTGAAATTCTACCTTCCTCTTCCTCTTCTCTGCTGAAGTGTTTAGGTGGCTTAGTCTGGCATTCAGATGGAAGGCAGTCAGTATGAAGGAAAGAAAGGAAGTACCTTTGCTAGGTACATGCTGTGATTCATCTATTTCATTTGCTAATGCCTATGAATTAAAAATGTTTTGTAAGATGTAATGTAACTTTCCCAAAGAAGTGACTTCTTCTGCAGTAATTAAGTCATCCCAAGTATCGAAATGAAGGCCTTTTTGAGTGCAAGAAAATAAATGCATGGTATTGAGATCTATGTGTGACAAGGTATTTCCTGTGATGCTACTTATAAACTTGATTCAGATGAAGCTTAACTATTTACTGGAGATGGCAGAAGGGAGTCACAGCATCATTGTCAGTGGATCAAGGACAATGCTGGAATTCAGGAACCCTGAAATGCCTTCTCAGTTCTACTGCTGGTCAGCTATGTGTTCTGGAAGTCACTTTCTTGTTTTTTAGCTTCCCTACCTATAAAGAGGAATAATAATACCTCCTTTGTGAAACATTTAGAAATATAATAATGAAAAGCACTGTATTTGAACAGCATACTGATATTATTGTCATTGGTTAACTTTATTTGCTGTAGGTAGTATATTTCTGAAGTTAAAAACCCAATCCTAAACTTTCCTTTTTATATAGAATTCTAACTTTTATAATATTTTTTTTCTTTTTTTTTCTGTATTTGTGCAATTGTGTTATTGTTTCTTTTATTCTTGTAAGAATAGTAACCTAATTTATTCTAGCATCCCTATAAATTGGCTTTCTCATAACGGTAACTAACATTGAGAAAAAACAGTGTGACCACTTAACATATGACCCACATAAACATAATACTTTAGCATTGACATAAAAGTCTGCATTTAGATAAACTAAAATCTACAGCAGACTAAATTCAACCTCAGCTGAAAATGATGTTAGACTAGATCACTGAGACTGAAAGTGTCACATGGAAAAGAAGCTGAAGGATGTACTGCAAGCACATTTCCTGGACCTCAGTGCGAAGTACAGAATGAACATGAGATACCCACAACACCCTTAGGATCTAATGTGGCTGCTTTGCTCCAGCTGTAAATCCAAGGAAAGTAGTGCACACCGATCGCGTACCTCCTGCCAGAACTATCTGTCCTGGTAGTTGAAACTTGTGCTGCCCTGGTCTTCACTCAGCACATCTGACCCACTCTCAGAGTCCAGTGTCCTTTTAGATATTCCAGATTTGGAACATGTTAAACATGTTCAGTAGCAAATTTCCTTATTTGATGTTATGCAAGATTTTAGCTTAGCAGAGTGTTATAATAATGTGTTTAACTCTTAGTACAAGAAGAACTAAAGTAAGTGGGGTATGTATCTGAATAATAATACAAATGTATTTCTCGTTAGGGATCTTACCAACAATACCTTAGATGTTTAACATAGAATGAAAGGCAGTTGGTGTTTGATGAGAATTTTAACATTTTGTTTTGCTCCCTTTTATTTTTTTTGGCAATTAGTCATACTTTTAGCATCTAACGAGGTTTTGAAATTTTGATAATATTGCTGCATTTGATTTATGTTGTTCTCAAATACATGGCAACACTTTTACTAAATTAAAGATTAGTGAAATTAGAGGCCAGCATTACCATTTCTCAAAGATATCCTGGAAACAATTTTTCTCCATTTTAGACTCTGATTTTATATGGCTGCCTGCAGGAGTTGTTTTTGGAAATTGTGAGGAAAATCACAACCCTTCAGACTTTCACAAGCATTCTAGGGAAAGTAAGTTATTTCAAAAACTTAATTTAATTACAGCTCACTTCCAAAAGAGTCAGAGGACATTTTCTAAAATTAACGCATTAAATCTGAACTTTCCATACCTTTCATAATCTGTGTGTAATATACTTAGATACATAATTTTTCAAAATTTTCATGCTGCCCCTACAAAAGCATTATTTATTTTTGATACTTGATACTCATTTTGTAAAGAAATTATTAGAAGACTCTCATTTTCTCTGAAAGATCGCAGTTTCACTGTGAATCTGTCCCATCTATCCAACCCCTTAGTTCCAAGAATATAAACAAAGTGTAACACTATCAGATTAAATCCTGACTTCTCTCCTGAAAATTTGAAAAACTGGTATTTCTATAATTCACCACATACTGAAAACACTGTGCCATTCTAAGATTTTTTTTTTTAACTCACAGATGTCTGAAAATATTGACTGGTTGCAGAGCCAGAGAGGGCTCTGTAAAATGGATCGTTATACTCCTGGAGGCGAGAAAGAACACAATTGGACAGTAAGAAATGTCTTTTTTTGTTTCTTTGATTTTTTCCTAATTAATTTGCATATGCACATAGAAATATTACCTAAGAAGGTAAAAAAAAAAAAAAGGAGAGTCTGTTTCAATATTTTTAAGAAAGTTGCATCTTTTAGTAAATTTACCAGAAAACCCCACTTTGCACTGAAATGCAATATCAAATATTTGCATGTAACAACTCTGGACCTTTCTCATTGTTTTGTTCAAGACCTATCATCCATGAATGTAGGAAGTTCTCTGTCATTTACATATGATTATACTGCTGCCATGCAATAAGGAATTTATTGCCTAAATAAAGAAAAGGATTTTTTTTCATTTTCTTGTACTGTAAATTGAGTAAGCACATGCAGAGAAAAAAAACATCTATTTCCATGTAGAAATGAAAGAAGAAAGACTAGGTGAGAAGAAGGTAGGAAAAAAAAAGAAGAGTCTACCAGCAATATAATTTTGTTTCCACTGAATCTTTATGTCAGGCTCAGTCTTCAGCTTTCAGTATTTGTAGCTTTTATAAATGATGGAAAAGATGGCACAGTGAAAGGAACCAGTCTGAGGAAGTAGCAGGTAGGAGAGAGCTGTATTCAGAGGAGTCACTAAAAGAGCAATGATGAGTTGTATAACTCATTATATAGGATTATATAGGATTGCGGTTC